CGGGGCCCTGGCCCGCGGCTTCAGCATCTCGCTCGGTGCCGATCAAACACTTCGGCAGCCGCTGGGTAGCTCTTCTCATCCTCGGTTACACCAGGGTAAAGGAAGGCGCACGCCCAAAGCCAAGTAAGCAGGGAGGCTGCCAGGCTGGATTTGAGGTGGGAGGAGAAGGCGGCTGTTCCTTGGAAACAGGAGCAGAGCCCGATTTCACATTTTTTTTTTTCCTCCTTGTTTTCCTGCTTATCTTTACCGTAACTCAAAATAAATCAGATTTATCTATCCATTAGCGACATGTCAGAGGTGGTTCCTCCCTGGAAGAGGCAAAGAGCATGCAGGCAGTGATCGCCTGCAGCTGAGGCCGGGGTGGTAGGTACCTCTGTCCCGTTGCTCAGCTGCAGATGCTGTTGCTGTGACTTCACCTGCACGCAGGGCGCTCACTTGGGCTTTTGTAGACCTGATAGCAGCCTCTGGCCTCGGGGATTTGGGATCTTGGTGAGCGAGTCCCTCTGAGCCTTGCCCTCCTTCCAGAGGATCCCGTGGTCGTGTGGGGCAGCAACTTGCTGCTGTTATTTGGATTTGGGCACCGTGCAGCAGAGGCAAAGCTCAGGGCTGCTTGCTTCGGACCGGAGCAGTGTCTGTGGGGGGCCTTCTGCTTTCAGACACGTCGTAGCCTCTTACCTCCCACCTAGTGTGCAAACAGTGTTCAAAAGCACGTGTCCTTGTTATCAGCCCCCAGGCTGCGGTCTCTGAGCTGCGTGTTGTGCCCGACGAGGTCGCAGAGGCGCCCCATAATGACCACATTGCTCTGCACTTTGTGCTGGAGGCTCGTCTCAGCGAGCATCTGGTTTTGGGGCATTCCCCCGAACCTGTCTGAATCACTGAGCATGGCTCCTCCGGGGTCTGTGGGCATGTGGTCAGGATGTGTAGAGTTCTTAGGGTCAGGGGCAAAGCCCAGGACATCTGCTTTTAGCAGCGGGGTGAACTCTCCAGGGCATGGCCTTCACGGTAGATGGCATCCGCATCAGTCCCCGGTCCACCTTGTCTCCATGGAGGTCCTTCAAACTCAACATCTGCATGGTCCGGCCCACAGGGTGACATCTGGGCAGGAAGGAGAACACCCCTGGTTTGCTTGGATGAGCTTTAGGAAGTGGTGGAGGGTTTCCATCTCATGGTGCCGAGGCTGGAGTGCCTGTTGCCAAAGAGAGGTTTGAGGCTGGTCTTTCCAGAGTCAGCGGTCCAGCCCTTTTCACCTGGGGTGCCGGTGATGTTTTTGGCAGCTCCAGCTGTGCCTGGACGGGCTGCGATCGTTTTGGTGGACCTGTGCAAGTTAGTGCTCCTCTCGCTCAGGCTTCGAGCAGTAAAGCCCACCTTGATGCTGCCAGCGGTTGGGTGGACGAGGTGCTCTGTGTAGGGGCACGGTGGCCACCAGGAAGAGAGGCGGGTCCGCGCGTCGCGGGGCAGCAGGGGTGCGGCAGAGTCTCCAGCGTTTGTCGGTCGGGGCAGTGCCGTGGAGGCCCCCTGCCCGCCCCGAGGCGGTGCTTGCCGGAGGTTTTAAATGAGTGGCTTCGGTTCTTGGGATGGCTACTCTGACTGCTGCCCGTGAGCGTTAATTATCTTAATTGTGTTTGTATTCTCCAGGAAGGAATCACTCTATAGATGGTATGTATATAACTGTTCTTAGGCTGTGCAGAAATCACCTCAATTTAGATCTTTTTGCTATAAATTTTTTGAGATTTACAAAAAAATTATTAAGACTAGACACGACGACGGTCTGGTTATGATTCAGCCGGTTATGGAGTGGCTTGACGGGCCCCATGTCCCGCCGACCGCT